TTAAATAAGATTGAATGGATGTTTCACGCAGTCATATGGATGTCATTTGGCTTGTGCAACGATCAGTCATGGTATTTTATTCGTTAAAGAATATTGTAAAAAATAATAAAATATAGATCTGATAAGATTCATTCTATTAGTCAAGAATATAGATAGCATCTATAATATAATATTTCTATAAGTGAATCTTATTATGACAAGAATAAATTACAAAACAAATTTCAAGATGTTTCATAGAAAATATTTATGTAAATAAGTTAGGAATTGCACTATCTTATTTTAAATTAACTACAAATATCAATCAATTTATTAAATTGATTAGATTAATTAGAAATATCAAACTCGTGACTTAAAATTTGAAACTCGATTACCTTGACACTTTTTTTTTTAGAAAATTAGCCAAGTACTGTTAAGATTTATAGAATATAAGTTTTGTACAGCTCAAGAGCCGTATTTAGAAAATATTTCTTCATATATATTTTACTGTTACTTTTGGCAGGCCGTTAATGATTTGTATATCTAAGAATAATTATTATAATTGAGAATTCAATACTCGAAATAATTTATTCAATTTCATAGAGTTTGAAAACCTCTGTAATCATTACTTTTTTTTGGACTGATAGATATTTAATATTAAATGTTTTAAGTTCGAATATACTTTCTGTATATTTGACGATATTGATTGATTTAATACATCAATGAATTAATATATTAATAGTAAGTTTGCGAATAAGCCTTTTTTTTTAAATATATATAGTTTCCAAAACACTCAATAGTGGTATAAGACAATATTGTATAACAAAATTTATAAAAAATAATTTGGTAGCTTTGAAAATATTAATTAAGCTTCAAGATAATTAAAAATATATACTTTTATTATTAGCAAAAAACCATTACGATAAATAATTATTTACGTCATAATAAATTGAAGTTAATACTACAATGTTATATAATAAAAACTACGACGGTGACGTCAATTTTTAAAATAAATACAATTTTTCTTATTTTATAATGAATTAAAATTTGTCATTGATTTCGTTTATATGATTAAATAATAAATATTGATTTTATTTAATCAAAGAAAATTATATTTTTCTTAATAGGTGTTTTGGATTTCTCTTAACTATACACAGTAATTCTAAGATGTTTTATAGTCAAATTTTAGTAGAACTATTTAATATTTTTAATTGTATTAATTTAAGTAATTAAAATATTTTAATTGCAAATTTGTAATTTAGTAGAATTTTTTTTAAAAATTCAAGTATCGATATGTAATGTAAATTTAGAAATGCACATACAATTTTCAATCACTGATCACAATTGTTATGAATATAAATCCTGTTCATTCTATAATAAAATTGCAATTCAATAACAAAATTATAAATTCAATTTATTCATTAATTTTAATTCTATATCCCCTCAACTCCACGTGTTTTTCATTATCTATAAGAATTCTACACTTATTCAACTCTTAAGTAATCTTTTCTATAAAACAAAAACACAGAAGAAAATGTGATAATGGTACTTATCTAAGGATAATAGTCAATATTTATATAGAGCTTTTTTCTTTTTTTTGTAAAGTGATTCTATATTTTATATTTAAAAATTTAATTATAATATTTTAAAAATAATTTAATACATTAAATTCACATATAAATTAATAAAAATATTAATTTAATTTACTATTTCTATTTATTTTTATGTTTCATCTTCAAATCTACTGCAAAATCTGTAAATAAATATAGAACTTTATAAAAATTCTTAATGGAATTATAAAACATACGTTATTTAGAAATAGTTTGAATATTATTTTTTTTTATTATATCTAGTTTAAATTCGATTATACATTTATACAAAAATCATTTAAAACGCATTCCATTACTTTTTTTTGTGCCTTATTCAAAGTACATTAATTTAACATTTTGAAATCATTAAAATCATATTACACTTTAAAAAATTTTCTTCATTATATTAAGATATTAGTGAATTAATATATTGAGACTACTGTGCAATATGTGCAGTATTTTAATCATAAATAATGTATATCAAAATTCATGCATACACGTACCAATATAACATTATGGTCACTTATCGACATCTTCAACACATTACAATCTTATTGAGATAATAATTACTTAAATAATTTTAAATAATACTGAAAATTGTTGTATATATTTAGAATTGAATTGTATCATGATATTTTATAATTTTATATATAATGTGTATATCTCGAATTAAATTGTATTATCATATTATTAGTTCAGTTCTTAATTTAATGAACGATTGATTGATACAAAGTTCTATTATCTTGACACCTGTTTCACTGCATTTTTCATGGATTATATCATTTGTTACAATTCAGGATATAAAATATTTATAAAATATTAATCGTTGAGTAAATTTTATTTATAACGAAAACTGTTATTGAGCTGTTTTTTTTTTGTATTAAATATATCTGTTTTTAAAATATTCATCGAAAATCTTAATTTCTTAAAAAATTAAGTTAATCTTATTAATTATAATAATGTCTGATTAGATATAGTCGACTGTAAACATTTTTTCTCTGTCTAATATAGAAAATGAACGATCAATTATTTTTTTAACAAATACTGTGTAATATATTAAATCTTAATTATTACTATATCAAATTTCATTAAAAAAAAGGGATAATACCTTATTGACTGATTCAATGCGTGATATATTATTTATCTCAATTTTAAATTGAAATGATACTGTTTAAATTATTTTATTTATATAACGAGTCAAGTAATTTTTAAGCTGAAAAATGACAAGATGCAGCCAAATAATATATGGGATGAAAAAATAAAAATTCTTATACCAAATTTACCTCTGACATACTGTATAAAAAGGCATGTTTGATTTTACATAATTCAAAGAAATACCTGTTTTCTATGAATAAGGTAATAGATATTTTAAGCAAAATCAAACTCCGTTGAGCAATATGAAGATTTCCTCTTATTCTTATTCTAATAAGATAAGCATATTATCTTTTAAATAAAATTTATTCATAAGCCATCTAAAATATAAAGAAACCGGTTTAGAATTTTCGGTCTTAAATTTGTAGTTAATTTGTTGCTGTTCATACTAATTTTCACAAATTTTAATTTGTTTGGCTTTCAATTCTATGCAAATGAGGGTGCACAATGATAATTAAATTATTATCTTTTCATTTTTTAATTACTAAAATGAAAATTTTAAAAGAATTACATACGTTTTATATCCCTTCGTATCCCGTTGATGTCAACCGAGGCATCGGATTATTCAGACAAAAAAAAATGCTGCAAAATGTACGTAAGGAAATACATCTAAACTATTTGTTTATTTACTTTAGCAATAATAATAAATATAATAATAATAATATTAAATGATAATGTTGAGATTTCTGCAAAATATTTTCAGAAGGTATCAATTGTAAATAATTTGTATGATTAAAAAGTAGTTCATAGTAATATTGGTGATAGTCATCCTAAAATAGAAATTGATATTAGAATTAATAATATAAAATTTATTGTGTGATACAAAAATTAGTATTGTAATTATCTGAAGAACTAAAATAAAAAATTACAATTATATTTCAAATTTATATTTCACAGGTTATATAAATTGAAATTGAAAAGTAATTTATATTTATATAACAATTCTGTATTAAAATAGAAAGATAATTTTCTGTTTATTTTTTAAATATAATTTTTAGTTATTTTAATAATGAATATAAAAATTAAATATATCATTAATTATATTATAGAGAAAAGGAAACATTGAAAGTGTATTATTTAAAACAATCTGTAACTTCATTTTATATCTGCAAATAATCAATTCGGCATTATTTATAAATTATTATTAATTTATTACAGTAGTTATTATGGTAGATTTCTATATTTAATATAATATATAAGTGAAGCTTAAATTTAACTTACCGAATATAAGAAAATTAGTAAATTTAGATTATTATAAAAAAATTAATTTTATACTGTTATAATTGAATTTATATAAATTATCAGTGCATTAAAAATACATTGAATGAATAAATATCGAATGAAAGTTTATTTTTACATTGCAAAATTCTAAGTTATAAAAAAAGAATTATAATTGAAAAGTAAATTTAATATAATCGAAATAAGCTGATGATATTCATTTGGATTTAATCAATTTAAACGTTGATTCAATTAAATTTGTTTGAAATAATGATAAATTAAAAAGCAATTATCTCACGTATGTTTGATACTCAAGCACAATGAGACGTTAATCTTCAGATGCATACAACTCTGAACATAATTTTTTCATTTTTAGCTGTACGGAATTTTCTGAACATCAAACATTATGTGTTGAATTCTTTGACAATATAATCATATAATAATATTATAGTCAAATGTTATTTATTAGATAAAGTATCGTCAAGTATAAAGAGTTCAATTATTTTTATGATAGTTTTACATAATTTTTACATATTAATTTAATATGAAAATTATATAACTATTTATGATTTAACAATATGTAATTTTCTATTCATATTTCTATTAAGATTTTTGTAAAAAAAAAATAACATTAGGAATTATATCGACGAAATTTATCATATTCTTCATATTTTCATATTCTTTAATTAATTCAGTTTATATTCTTTCAATTAATTTTGTAAAATTTAGCTTAATACTTTGGTTTAACATACTATTATTCATTGATGCTTATATATTCTCTTAAGATGTTTCAAGTCATTGGGGTAAGTATAACGAAAGGATTTATAGATAGATCTAGACAGATAAATTGATCAGATAAATAGAACATAAGTAGACAAATAGTTAAATAGCCAAATAGAGAGACTGTGAGTGAGATGGAACGAGAGAGAGAGAGAGAGAGAGAGAGAGAGAGACATACACACACAAAATAACGGAAGGAAAGAGGGGGGTAGATTGTGCTTTCGCGAGGGTTCCCCGATTACTAAGCGCTCGACACGACAGGTGAGACCCTCGGACCTCTCCAGGCATTCCGCAGTCGCACCACATCATTTAAAGAAGGTGCGCGCATCTAGTCGCAGGAGCGGACCGATCTTAAGTGCAACATAATTGACCAATACGAGAGCGCGAGTGTATCAACGATTTTGAAGCGCCCGATGTCGACTCTGCACCAGCATCAACAGCAGCAGGTTCAGTTTCATCGGCGGGTCCGTTCCCGATAGTCCACACACGCAGGTGCATCACCCAAACTTTTAACCTACACTATCTGCACGGCTACGAGGTAATTTTCGAGGAGAATCAAGTACTTAAGATCATTATCCGTACGCAGATATGATGCAGGGAAGAGAATCATTGTCAATATCGGGAAAAGTTATTTCGTAACGTGTTTCCGACTTTCGCTTGTTTTCCGTATGCGCCCGGCTTAGTACTAATTAAACATTATTCGTTGTCGATGTAAGTCGTCAACACGTGACATATTTTTACGAATGCGGTTCCAATGCGATTTGGCAATCTTTCATGTTTAACTTCCATGATAAATTTTCACAATACGCATGTAGATACAAGCGAGGAGAGGGAAATGATTTAGTAACCATTGCTTTCCATTTTGGATCATATTTAGGTTTATACAGAATATGATTTCGTATTAATAAAAAAAATGAGGGGTAATCACAGCTAATTAATAATTAGCTGATTTCTTCTTCGATCAGCCGAATGAAAATTGATTTTTGGGCTTACGGATGAATCGATTTCCTACACTGAAATCAATAATTTATAACGATGAATTGAAAAATTCCTTAAAAACATTCTTCCTATAATTTGTCATCCATTCATTAACAATATAAAGAAAAGGATTCTTTAAGGGGCAACGTTTTATTTAGCAAACATTTTATTGATTATATTATATGATATATAGTTTTTCATCGTAAAAATAATATGACTATTAAAACTATTTAAAAATTTTCAAAATGCTTTCTAGCAATTATCATTTTATATTGCGTTTCTAATAAAATAATAATAACTTATAGTGGAAAATTTTTATTTTATTTATTTCTCTTAGCGTATAATTTTCTTTGTATCTATTAATATTTTGTATACCTTTATCGGCTAATACAAAAATTAAACTACTGTTCTTTCAAATAAAAGGGAACATTTCAATCTTAGTTAAAATAATATTATCTTCATTTTTAATATTCTCTGAAATATTAAAATTATTAATATATATAATTTAAAATTAAATATAATTTTTAATTGAATAATTTAATCTATCCATATTTTTATTGAAAATATATTAAAATGTGTTTTAGCACAAAATACATGATTATAATAAATAATACATTAAATTTTATTAATATTTATTAATTATAAGATAAGATTCTTTAATTCCCAGTTTCTGTTGAAAAACTGTAATTAAATTCATTCATTACTCATCAATTTAAATTATTATTCATATAACTTATGCCATTGTCTATATGAATTTTTCAAATTTATTACAAAAACAAACATTTATGTTTTCTTAGATCATGTGCTTACTCTATACTTATTATAAAAATTAATACATGATACTATAAATATTTATATTTTATTTTAATATTCAATAAATAAAGTCTCAAATATTACATACTTACTAATGTTGACTTTAAAACTTAAGTCGTTTCAACGTTATAGATGATTTTTATTTGGTTTCAATAACATCTAAATCCATTATTTCTTCAATTTTATAAGATTATAATCGCATTTATTAAAAAAAAAAAGTTTATTAATAGTTTTGTAATTTAAATATTTAGAAAATGCTATTTATTCTATCACTTTGTATTCAATTAAAATCTACGCATAATTATTAATTACATTTTAGCATTTTTATATGTGTCACATACATATTCTTAAGACAGAAAGATATGTTATAGTATTTTATATAAATACATGAAAATTTAACTTATATTTTTTATGTACACAAAGTTACAGAAATATTTCATTGTAATTAGATGATGTATTACTAAACGTTAAATTATAAATATGCATGTTATTTTTTATTATTAACAAAAATTAATTTATTTAATTTTAAAATCGTATTAATTATTTTAGTAGATATGAATGTTCAGAAAAATAACATTTGTATGTAGATAAATAATGAATGAAAATACAATTTTCCTCATAATAATGGCTAGAATAATAATAATAATTAATTTCTGTGATACGGTATCTTAAGTAAAATAAGAATGTTTAAACGTATGTAAAATAATTTTTGAGAAAAATTTATTACGAAATTTTATCTTTCAATCTTCTTTATTTACCAGTTCGTAATCATTTCAAATAAATAATAAAATTTTAACTTTCCAAATTTATTTATATTATTTATTATATATTATTTATATAATAAAAATATACTTAAAAAAAATAATAATCACAATAACATTTCAGTATGTAATATTTGATAAATAATATGTATCTATATAAAATACAAACTTGCCTAATGTTCATTTATTTTACTACTTAAAATGTATAAAATATTCATTATTCTTGTTTTATAAAGTAGAATCATTGTTTAAATTTAGTTACCTCGAAAAAATTGTTTTATTATTCATACGTATATTTTCTACATTATCTACATTACAACAATAAATAATATAAATAATTATGGAAGAATTGTTAAAATGATAAAAAAAAATTGAGAATAAAATTTTATACGATGACTAGGTATGAGCATTATGGCAATTTATTATTGTTTATCAAATCCTGAAAAACTCTTATAAAACAATTAATAAGCGAATAAAAGATTATTAACGAACATTAGCTGTAATAAAATTTAATTACCCGAAGAATCGAATTTTTTTAAAAGAAGTTAGTGACTAATTTTATTCAAAATCATAAAAATAAATTACATGAAAGATCGTAAGTTAGTACCATTTATTTGAAAATTAAATAAAGAGCGTAATGCATGTATGTAATGTTGTTTAATTTAAAAGTAAAAATTGCTCGGTAACGCGTTGCGCGATTTCTTAGTCAACGTGCTCTACACGTATAGCTAGTTGAGGAAGTTAAAAAAATTTCCCGGTAGAGGCACAAAGGAGCTTCATATTAGACGACGCGTTTCCTTCTACAGAATAAGCGAGGATGGGGGCCTTTTTGGGCCACGCAACGATTTTACTTCTTTGGTTGGCCCGACTAACCTTGGCTGTGAAGTCCGTGGATGTCCTAAGTGGTGGTATCGCAACTGGCATACAGGAGGAAGAGATCCTGCGCGTTCTTGCTCAGAATAAGACCGACAGATCTGATAATTTCACTTTCATCGAGCTCATTGGCAGCGTGTCCCACCAATATAACAACAGCCTTAACACGGACGAGATACAAAGCTATGTGACAAACGATAAGCGTACCACGAATCCTTATTATGGTGAGTCTTGCCGTACAGTAAAATTGACTTTCTGTTCACATCCATTAGAATTCATCGAATCTTAAGAAAAGTGCCGTTTTTATCTCATCACGAAATTAAAGAAACTCTAATTTTCATTCTGTCACTGTTAATTTTCTGAATGCAGCTTCAAAATTACAAAACAAAATTGAAATTTATAAATTAGTGTATACACCAATAATGAAGTATATAATGTTCATAAAATCTAATGTATAGTGTACCATACACGTTATTTTTTTTTTGTTTTTATTTTACACTTATTAATTATGTGACTATGCAATATCTGTAATCATATTTATTCTCTGATTTATTAATTCTATAATTCTGTAACTAATAATACTTATATTGAATGTCATAAGTAATAATTATTTATTGGATATTATAATAAATATTTATTAGTCAAAAAACTTCATAAATTATTATTATATTTTTAAATTTTGTTTTATTTGCTTAAATTCAAGAACTCAACTTCTCAACTTCTCGAACCATGATAATTTTAAAACGAACAAATTAATCATAATATTTTTTATTGAAAAATAAAGGAATAATAATATTTTTTTCACATAAAAATTAAATTTAAATATAGATAGACCAAATAAAAATATAAATATAACACATGAAAATATTGATATAAAAAATTGAAATATAGATGTAAAAAATTGGAATATAGATTAAAATAATTATATGTACCTATTAAATTCAATTTAGTATTGAGCGTAATTAATTTTAGATTGTATTTAAATCATCAAGTTTTTATGTTGTTTTTAAAGCATTTCATTTTCCTCATCAAAACCTTTTTTATTAATTTATTGTTGCAGTCTTAAGACATTAGATCATGCATTTTGCGTAACTCAAAAAAATATTTAGTGTAATTAAACAGATTATTTAACAATTGATGAATGGATAGTAGTAAATCATTACTTTCAATCTAAAATCAACACGTGAATGTTGTGATTAATTGGGGGTTAAAAAAACTTCGACAGAAATAAGTGCTACTTCAAGATTGCTATTGGCATTATGACCTTCAGCCTCTCTTGACTTACTACTTCGATTAACATAGATATTTATATTTCAATAATTTCATTAGGTAATACAATAGAAATATAATTTAGTTTTATAATGTTAACAAGTTTCATGAAATGTAGATTTCTACTTAAACTTCTTTAATAATGTCTACAATAATAAAGTATAACGATAAAGTTATCCATTATTTTAATATATTTAATAAATAATTTAATATAATTTATTTATAGATTTAAATACATATATAAAAATTATTACTATTTACCTGGGCATTACAATAATTATAATTACAACTAATATGTATTAAAGATACATTTGATTTAATTTAAATACATATTTTACTATATATTTATGCATAAATTAATTAATATATTATTGCAGTAAAAAATTAATATAGGAGCAGTGTATAATATTTTTAATTTTTGGTTAATTTCTAGCTTCTTCTCATTTGTTTTTAGATATTTAAAACATTTAAAGTTATAAAATAATTGTGTATTTATTGATCTATTTGGTATTATAACGTAAAAAGTAAATAAAAACAGAGTAATGGTATTATATTTTATATTAATTAAAATTATTTGAACATATATAAGTAATAAAAATGAATCAGATTAAAATATAAAATGTACATACGTATTAGCTAATTCGGTGTCTTTAGGGTCTATGAGCTTCTTTTTTGTCTCCGCTTTAACATTTTACATTAACTGCCAATATTGACACATCCATTATCGTTTCATTATTTAGAATTCAGCACACTGTCATTTATTCATTATGCTGCTAATAAAATATGAATGCAAAATAGGAATATAAAAAATCTAAAAAATATTACATGGCAAAAATCCTACATTGATTTGAATTTTGAAATTTTGTAATATGCTTTCAAACATTTACATAAATTATACTATGAGGTGTATCAATATTTGTTATAAACAAAATTTTAACTTAAGGTATATTGCTAATGTTATTATTCAATATAAAGAAAGATTAAATATTTTCAATATTAATTGTATTATTGTGTATATTTTAAAATTTTTAATTTGACTGAAACTGTTTATATTTCTAATAGCTAAATAAGAAAATATTCTTTATATTATTATTGAAAATAATTAATAAAGCAAATATTATTCTAAATCTTCATTTTTTAAATCTAATATTAAAACCATAAAGGAATCATTTTTAAATTTCATGAACCAACGAGAACAAAATTATAATGAGTATTTAAAAGTATTTAATGAAGTTTTTTTAAAATTTTCTAGAAATTTAATTTAATTTTGTACATTACCACAAAAAGTATTGTGCACTAAATGATAAATCACTAAAATAATGTTAATTGAATGTGTAACTTTCAAAATATCATATTAAATTAATTATGATAATTAATGTGCTTGTATTATAACAAATTATATTACTGGCACATTATTTAATCTTTTTTTTTTTAAACTTGACAAAGGCTATAAATTAAATTTAAATAGCACAGTACCTATAATTTGTTAATTATTATTTTTAATAAGGTATCAGATATCAGTATAAGAATATAAGGCTGGTTTAATGAGTCATAGAATTTTATCTAGAGATATGTTGCTTATTGCACATATACGGGCTTCTAGTTGTTATTACTTATTTAATTTCATTTATATGTAACATTTCTTTACTAAATATTTTTTACTAAATCAGTTGCCATTATTTTACAAAATGTGTATTAATAAATGTTATATTTGCATTTGTTGATTAATATTTGCGTAAAATGAATACGATATCCGATCAATTAGTTTCAACTGCAAATGGTGAATTTTTGTTGTCTTAGCTCACAAATTGTAAGGTGATATATTATTTTTATGCAAAGACTCAACATTCAAACTCAATCTCATTATTCAATTTTAAACTTGAATTTTTTAAGTAATAATGTGCAGTATTACCTTCCTGATTGACGAATATTCATTCAAAATATTTTCTGCATGTATAAGTTTTATTATAATCGTTACATAAAAATGAACAAGATCCAACTTAAAATTAGCGACATATATAAATGTACAAATTAATATAAAATATTATACATAAATATTTAATTATATTTACTTATTTATTGCATATTTATTTTATTCAGTAATAGGGTCAAACAAGAATCAAAAATTCAAAAATTCAAAAATTATTTTTTAACCTTTTTTATCATACTTTTTAACCATTTCTTATACAGTATAAAATGACAGTTTAACAAAATTAATTAAAAAGTGCACGTTAAAATAATTAAAATTTTGTCGTTGTTTAAAGATTTAAATGAATGTATTCATTAAGTACATTAACTAACAAAGTTAATTATATCTTACGAGACATTGTTTTAAAATGATTATTACAATGCAAAATTATATTTCATTGTCTTGTATATGATGCAATTTAATTTAATTTAATAATTATTGTTTGGATATTTTAACTATTATAAATGATGGAAGAAAGATTACTATTTAGAAAATTTTATGTCGTTGTGTAGAATGCATATTTTTTATCAAATATTATAAATGAATTATTACATTTTTTGTGCATATTTATTAGAAATTAGAAAATTACTTGATAAATTGGTGTCTGAGAAAATTAATTATTTCCCAGAAACAATTAATAATTAATAACAATGTAAAACAAAATAGTAATGTTATATGTCATTTATCAAATAAATATGATATTCAGATATGTAATTAAATATATCATATAATATTATTAAAAAATTTTAAATTATAAGTATTATTCGATTTAAAATATTTTTTATATTATTTGTGATTTTACAGTTTCCAACCACTTTTTATAAATACACAATCATGTAAATGCATCTATATAAAATAGTAGAGTGTGTGAATGGCCAGCGAGACTATCCGTTATTATTTTGCAATAAGTAATTTTAATAATAAATACTAATTGACTTAATAATTGAAACAAATTGAAAGTTAGTTGTAATTTTATAAATCTTTTTATACATTTTTAAAAATAAAAATACGCACGAAAAGTTAAATCTTATATTTTTATTTAATAATCTAATGTATTACATATGTTTTATAGAAATTTCATTCAGCATTAAATGCATCACAGAAATATAAAAAAATATACCTTATAATATTTAGATTGTATTTAAAGTAAAAATCCTTTTAACTAGTGTGTTATAAAATTTGTCAACATGCAGATATTGCTATAATAATAATATATACTAGAAATTTTATATGATTTTTATTGATATGTAATATCTATAACTTATATACTATTATTAAAATTACTATAAGAATTGTAAGCAACAATCAATATATCATTTAATATTATTGTTATATTAAATTTTTAAAAATTGTTAAAAAAATTTTACTTTTTAAAATTTTCTAATAATAAAAACAAATTAAATATTAAGTTTACGTAAGCAACATTATAAGTAATTCAAATATAACAATAAAATTATATTTTCGTTAGACTATACAAAGAAATATTATATATTGATATTTAAGCTAAATATTTAATTATATATTCTAAAGATTAATAATCATTAATTTATAATAAACTTTAATATTAAAAATTGATTTTATAAATGGCGGAATACGATTTAATATTTTGCATTGATATTAAAAATACTTCCATAATTATGCGTTGTATCATTAAAGATGATAAAATATTATGTATGAGCGTTCATATACGGGCATAGAAATTTAGTTGTACTTAAATAAAATGATAATTAAGAAATATAAGCCAATTTGTTACAGATGTATTAACAAACTTTTTTGGAATATTTAAAAAAACTTATTATCGTAGTGAAGAAAATGTAAAAGACAAAAATAGGTTTATTAAATTCTTCAACTTTTACTTGTGGCCTATTTACATATATTAATTCTAAGAAACTTCTACTGAAAAGTAATTTTCATCATATTTTGTAATTTGAATTTTGAATGATTATTTTAATACTGTCGTCACATTACATAAAAGGAGATTTTGTTGACGTTATATTTTGACAATTTTATTATATCATGAATGACTGACCTGATTTTACTTTCATAAATTTATGTTTGTGTTCATGAGAATAGTCGAATAGTTTTTAATAATGAATTTTTTGAGATATGTCATTATAAAATCCCAAACAATTATTATTTTAAGAATAAAAAAGGAATATTTACATATTAATTGAATACAAAATTTCATTGTTGAAAATGTGTATATCCTACTATATTTCTGTATTTTATAATATGTTAATAATAGAAGATGTGACAAGATTATTTTTACGATTGTAAATACATATTAACAATTACATACAAATTTACTGTTGTATATATAAATTTACGATTGTTTATACAAATTCACGATTGCATGCACATAACAAAAAATACATAAAGAATATGATTTTATTATTGTATAGAAACAAGCAATTGTTTGTTATTATAATTATCTGCCAACATTAGATGCAGTTTTTGCATTTATGTAAAATGATAAAGATTAAATATAATTATTTATATTTCAATGTAATTAGATTTAAAAGGACATTTATATGATGTTAATTTCCAGTCAAATAACTTGTATGTATATAATCTTATATAATAGCGTTTACAATATGTAATTGTTACATAAATAACAGATTTATCAGCATATTTGTTTTATAGATACTTTGGTTCGAGGAATATATTTTTAATTTATTCTCACTTCGTTGTGCTTGTTATTATTATTATTATTTTTGTTATTTTTTTAAAAATAAATATAACACCTTTTACTAATTATTTCAAACACTTGTAGATTTGAATATTTATTTTACACTTCATCAAAGTATTTAATCTTGTATTATAATTATTATATAATAACACGAGATTCTTTTATATATCCTATCAACATAATATTGGATTTATACATCTACGTAGGGATTAAAAATGCATTACCGGGGATTAAAAATTAATAATAAATTAAGTGCTATGTGTAAATAAAATATAGAATTACATTTAGAGAATTACATTACAAATAGAGAAATACATTTCTTTATTTAACTTGAGTATATCATAAAGAGTTCAATTTCGATGCTAATGCAATGTTTGTTGGCAACAAGCTTGTTGTGTACTGAATACATAAATCTAAATATATCAATAGTTCTTTTTAGAAAATGAAAGGAAGTTTCGGATTATATTATACCGTTTTCACTGTGATTAGGTAAATAACTATTATTACCATTAAAATCGGTTGTTTAAAGTAAATTTTTAAAATGATACAACATCTAGAAGTACGGTAATCCATCTATCGACAAAAATGGATTGATAATGTGAAGCTAAAGTAATGTCAGTTGCGTAGAAGCCTTTCAGAAATCTTTAAATCAATATCCATTCTTTAAAAACTTCTATCTTTGCTGTTTTTCAATATTTGAGCAATACAAATACTCGTGACGAGCTCCTCACTAGGGATGATGATCGTTGAATATAAACGTTTTCGAAACAGCTTTCGCTCGTTCTTCGCCTTTCCCGAAAACAAACGCTCTTCGGACACTCAACAATTGGGCAAGGCAATGCACATCAAGGATCCGCTCGGGTATTCATACCCTCGACAAAGCGATTGTCGTATGGTCGAGTACTAACGATCGATGGCTTTCTCGCGATTTCTGAATTCGGCTGGCGTCACTTTAATAGCAGCCACGAATGAAGTTCCCGGGCCGTCATCGGCTTCGCCACGCGACAATACGTAATTGACGAGTGTACACATAAGCACGGCCAACACGTAACCGCTTCATTAGGGATTCGCTGTGTATATGCTTTGAGGCATATCCGACAACCAGGGTGAAAGTGCTTATACGGGTAGAGGAAGCGACGCCCGCTCTCTTGTTCGGCAGCCTAATCGATTATAAATTAACTTCGCGCGTTAACGCTGCATTTCATTAATTTAAATTATTTCCTTAGGAGATTGAAAGTTTATTATTTGGTATGTGGGAACTGTTATGGCGTGTTCGTATGGTGGGTTGATGTGCGATACCCGATTTGGCGTTTTTCAGGCACACTATGTTCGTAATACGTTTTCCATTAATCTTATACCAGGATAGAAATTTCATAGTAATTATGCAATTTGTACCATTACCTTCAACATATGAATATAATGATAAGTATGAGCATTTTACAAATGCAATGATATTAATTGATGTGAAACATTAATTCCTCAGATGTTTATGGAGAGAAAATCGATCTTCAGGCTCGTAAATTTCTCCAAATTGTTCCGACTTTTGATCCTGGCGCGGGACAAGTCAGTCAAAAGTGTAGAAGACAAGCTGCCTTATTTTATGAGGAATTAAAGAAATTCAGTCTGTGGGCACTTAAAAGTAAGTTTCTAATAAATTTATTAACATTCATCTTTATTTATCTATTTTCAAGTAGTTTGTAAAATATTTTTAAATATATTTGGCGAATTTAATAAACTGGCGAAGCAGAGCTGATACAATAATATAATAAGATCGATATCATGAGACCGCAATATAATATGTAATCTGATAACATAACGCATTAAAAGAAACTAACTGTGAATATTATAGTGAATATTATTTACATGCTTAAAGTAACATTTGCAGCTTGACTAGCATATTATATAATTAAGCCTTGTAGTTATTTAATGTATATCATATAAGAGACTATAATTGCGGTTTATATTTAAAATTCATATGAATGATATCTTTATCACTCATAAATAAGCGATAGATTCTAAAAGTGAATGTGATAAGATGTACGTTAAAATTTTTTTTATAAAAAAATTTGTAACATTATTTTTAACAATGGAATAGAATCTTTAATTAATTTTGAAAAAAGACCTGATAAAGGTGCCTTGCAGTACTTTATGTCGTTATTCCGAAGGAGTATTGCGATTATCTAAATTCTAGTCCAAATTCCCGATCCGACATATATAACGCGATAATTATGCGACATGACCAAGCACGAAAATATATTGACTTTTTTTGTACTTACTGTGCTTATTTACTTTTTAAAACTGTCAATAAATAATAACATATAATTTTAGAAAATAAATAAAACCATGTAAAATTTATACTAATATAAATATTATTTATATTTTATAGGTAAGAAATGTATGTAGGTATCGACATATTTACACGAACACAAATTATTTATAAAACAAATTAAATATTTTTTTAATATACTATTATCATCTGTATTTAAAATAACACTTTACAGTTCATTTTCAATTATCGAATTATCGTAAACTTAATGGAAGATTGGCATTTAAGTAAATAATCAATGGAAAACATAGAGTCCAGACTTTTAATTTTGTATATTATTTTAAACCAGTGAATTTTTCGAAAGAACAACACCGCACCCAAGGAATTTTTAACATAAAAGCTATTTCAAACACCTGCTTGAGTACAGTAGTGAGTCTAATGAGTCACGTGTCTTCAAATGCCGTGCAAAAAGTCAGTATATTTCGGAATACGTGCACAAAATATGAAAGGAAAGTCGAAGTATTTTGAGAAAGACGCGTCTCAATAGTATTGTCTACATAAGTACGAGCAAGTGGGCGAAGGTAGCGTATCGCGCACGACCAACAAGAGTCAATGCAACTCTGGAAAAGCAATTTTGGGTATATGGAAACAAAAGACGTTGAAATTAGGAAAGACAATTCCGACGCACATCAAATAGCGAATGAGGCGCGGTGTGCCAATGCGCGTCGGTGCCTTTCGTTTAATGACCTTTCACAACACGATCCTCCGAATTACATAAATCGATGTTGTGTCGTACGTAGAGCATCGTCTCCTCGAGCTTAGGTGGACACGCTTAGTATGCGATACACAGATTTTTGGGCGCGCGTGTGCGGAGACGATTTCTCCTCGGGAGAAGCTCCCATCGCTTTTTTCAATTTTGCCTCAACCTTCTCGGGCGGAGCTTTGATACTATCATCGCAATAAAGGAAGGAAGTATGTCGACCGCGGTTATGGGTGTCCCTTCGTGATATTCGGGGGTGTACTTTAATTCAAGGATCAATATTATTTATCCGTATTGAAAAGACCAAGGATTCGATTAAAAGTGGGTTAAAAATTCGCAATGTGGAAATTGAAAAATGCCATCATTTAAGTGGACTTTTGACTATATTGACCTTAACACAGCACAGTAATATATTGAATTACAACAACCAGAAATTACTATGGCTAATTTCTAAATGCTATAGAACGTATTTATATACGTATGTAATAAGAATAAGCACGTTACAGTGTATTATTTACGGTAAAGTAAAATTGCATGCATATACACGCGTACACCTATTCACATATAGGCACGTATGCACGTACGTGTACGTAGATATGCACGAACACGTATAGTATAAATACAATTTTTTTTTATATGTTTCTGATATGTGCTATTTCAAAAGTCACGGTTGCCACGTTAGTTTTAAAATCAGGGCTAAACTTTTAGTCGGTAGCAGAAAGCTTTGAAATAGTTTTTATAATCAATTTTTTTTGGTGTATAATTTTTCTGGTTTTTAAACATACATAAATTTTTGTTTTTTTTTTTGTTTTTCTTTTTACGAAACAGGTTACAAAGTAAATATTGCTACTGAAAAATTTAAAGTTTACCTCGAATTCAGAGTAAATATCTTAGGTAAAAATATTAAGCTTAAATTATAAAATTCATTCTATTATAAAATTTCATTATATTATTTAATTTACAAATTACTTATGTTTTAAATTAATGTATTGTAAATTATTCAATAATTACTTTATACTAAAAGCCTATTTATTTTGTGTAAATCTTCAAGTATTTAATTCATAATACATATTGCTTTGAAAACATTATAAGTAGGCAATAGAACATTTATTATGAATCTTGCATCACTAGCTTCATAACCTCGAAAACATGTAGTTAAATTGTGGAACATCAGAATTATAAAATCAACTTGATTGCCTGTAAAGATTAATGGTATTTAATTTTAATACAAACTTCTTATTTTACTATCTAAAATTATGTAAGATATATTTGATTATTGTTATATACGATTACATGAAGATATTAAAGTGATATAACAAATTATATATTATATACTAGAAATATTATTTCTTTCATGGACGTTATAATGTCGCAATATAATATATGATAATAATTTATGAATAATTAATAAATATAATTATAATATTTAAGTAACTGTAGATTTAATTATCAGTTTTAATTGTAAACGTCAAAAGTTTAAATGTTATAGGTTAAAAGTCATTTTTAAATGTATTTTACAAAGTAATTTAAAAAATTTCAGCCGATAATTTTATAGCTTATTTCAAGTGATAAATTGTATCTTTTATTTAATAACTCTAAAATTAAAATTATGATTAGGAAAATGCAAAATATATATATAGAGATATATGAACAGAATAGAAAATCAAAACTTACGAAATTAATTAATTTAGAAGAAAAATGATAATATGCCAATATGTTTATTATTATGAAATATGTTTATATATAATAGTTTAATATACGATAATCGATGGAAGTCGTATTTAAAATATTACTTTTTTTTATACTATTTGAGAATAATAAATTGAAAAGATCAAATGTATAATGTATTGTGAATTATTTGTAATAAAAGATAACAAATTCAGGCTTGATGATTGCATTTATATATATATATATTTGTATATAACCAAAATTAAAAATAATTTTAGATTTTCTTAAAAATGACTTTATAAACAGGATATTTAGCACTAAAATTGATAAAGCTCGCTTCGTTTTTTTTTATTGAGTACATCATATTGAATTCTCACTATTAACTAAAATTATACAAAAGCTGCTGTAAATACTTTAGAATGATTTTTCTATTCTTTTGCTATAGTAAAATGTTGAAAAATAACTATTTAATATCTCTTTCTTTGCCCTACTATGCTCGATCTTTAAAATGGGTCATTATAATAAAGAAACTTTTATTCGAAATTATCAATAGTTTAATTAATACTAAATTTGGATGAATTGTTGGAAGAAAAGTTCTTTCACGTAGTCATAGTAAATGCGAGTAATCATTTATTTACTCTATTCTATATTTACAGTTATCTATTTAACATTGAACTTAAAATAGCTTTTTTCTTGTTTTTTTTTTTTTTTTTAAATATTCAAGAGTTGAAAGGAATAGGTATATCAGTAGAAACAAGCTGAAAACCTTTTTTACTCTTGTAAACCTATGAAGCTCCATTGGTATGAAAAGCTTCTCTGTCGCTGTATTGTGAGCCGTGGTATCGTTGAACTGCAAATGCAAGCGCTCACGTCTATATGCCTCATTTCGGGTATTAAAAAATCTGAACTAATATAGAGCGTTTGGGGAATTGTCCGCAGTGTTCGATGCAACGGCGAAGATGCCGTCGGGCCTCCTAAATGGCAACGTTAACCAACTTGGCGACTTCGACGAGTGCCTGGGTGTAGAAGGAACGCAGGGCATCCGGGGTCAGTACTGCCTCGCCTACCTGCAGCTCGACGTCGAAGACTCGCGACCGGATCTACAGCAACTTCATCGACTTATGCACTCGCATTATGCCTTCCGGAGCAACATCTCGGACGTAAGTACGTCCTAATCGTGATATCCAACGTTGCCACCATTGTCCACGTTGTTCTCTTCGCATATCGTTCACCTTACACCTGTAAAAAGCCTTACATCCGTAACAAAGGAGGCGTGTGTCGCGGACCTGCGTTTCATCAAGTCATTTTTCCGCTTCGCTCCCCGCATTACTCTGTGCATAACAAGCTGCATGCTGATGAAGTCGCTAAATCTTCTCCCTATGTGCTGCCTTACTCATCACAAAATTGAAAATCAGGAATATCAACGAGCGTCGGTTTTCATAGTTCTCCTATTATGTTACCGAACTTGCAATAATAATCTCAAATTCTAAACGTCTAATAATTTAGGCAAAACCTATTATTTTTTATGTTTTTCATGTACTACTTTTATCTGTATTCGTTACCAAAAAGTCGAAAGAATTAAATTATCGCTCATAAATGGCGATTCGAATAGCACTGAAAATTTATAAAATTTATAATTTTAAGTAGTATCGAGACACTATTTCATGCTCCTTTTCATTGTATACAGTAATATATATATAAGAAAAGAAATGATAAGAAAATAAAAAGAAAAAAAAAATAATAGAGTCGTGCGTGAATAGTTGTGTCAAAATTCTGTCCGACATTCTTATAAAAATTCAAGTCTTTGACCACCGAAGATGTACAAATAACGCTTTCTAACGATCGAACGATATTAACCAAAAAAATACAGAGTATTTGTGAAAACAATACACTTAATCTAGCAACAACGTAGTTTCAAACCAACCTCCGTCCCGGAATATCACGGCACGGGACCCCTATTGTCACTATATTTATGAAGTGAACTTAAAAGATCTCTAAGCACGTTACATTTGTCCGCTACAAGGATCCCGGCTATCGGCGACATTTATCTCCTCGCACGCTTATCCACTTCGGATCCCCGTGGTTCCTAACGCAACTCGGAGATGATTGATACGTCGCGCAAATCCTCTGGGGCGCATCTGAAATGCAGGCTGCGCGCGAGTTGTTGAGCGAAGGTCGCTAGGCCGCCGATGTTAACGTACACGGATGCGCGCGGAATAGTCAACGAGGTGGTGCTGTGATCCGCGATTAAAGGAGGCCGCGGAGACAAAGGCGCGAGCAGCGGACATGGCGGAGGCGCATTTCTCCATCGCATTTTCAGATGCCAGTTTTTCGGTCGCGAGAGCAGTAAAACGCGAGAGACTCGAGTGTGTTACGTAAGAAGCTTAATGGTCTCTTGGTATTAAGCGGGACATTCCGGACCTGGGACCTTGGTATTGAATTTTGATGCAGGCCTCGATGCGGTTCTCGACTTTAACGCCCAAAACTTGGCTGGCCCACGCGCCCGAATTCAAATTACATTTGTCTCTGACGACTTTTAAAATCGATCGACTGCCATTTTATGCCCATTCATTATTCATCGCCGACACTTTTCAAAAATGCTCGTGCTCTTCCGTTGCTTTAAGCAATCAACCTTTTTCACAATCACATAAAAATTACAAAATTTATTATGCATCATTTAACGCGATGAAATATTCGTTGTTTTACAAAATTTCCATTCTGGGAAAAATTAATACTGCATTTAACGGGGACACTTAAATCCTATTGATAATTGAGTAAAATTTTATGTCCTTATCGTAAAACTTTTAAAATAGTTTTTAATACGGTCACTTAAAGCTTATTGGATATTAAAGTTATTTGTATTAATAAAGTACGCCATTAGAGAAATAATCATTAAAAAGATCAATATTAAATCATTTTAAAGTCACTGTTTATGTGGCTAACTTTAATTCGATGACATCCTCGAAACTCACATTTTATTTTTTATAAGCCATTCGTTCATTTTTACATACAAGTATCAAGTTATCCTTGAAAATATTAAAAGTAATTATATTCAGGTAAAAATTATGAATTTATGAATTATAATTACAAATATTCGTAATATTAATTTATATTATTTGAAATATTGTGTTTTTGTGATAATTATAAATTATTGTTCGATAATTTATTAAATATTTATTTCATCTGTTAATTACTAAATTATACAGATATTAATATGCGAAAAGAAAAAATGATCAAATTAAAATACAGATTATTATTTCCAAACAAGTAAAGCTTAAAGTATTTTAAATTGTAGGAGCTTGTGTCATTGATTATTCAAATTATTCAAATAATCGGCGATTAATTGCCGTTCAGAAGTTTGCGTGCTAAATGTTACATTTAAACGGCGAATTTATTTTACTTATTTTTCAATTAAAATATTCTTTTTATTATTGTTTGATTAATTATATTAAATGACAAATTTAATTATAAATAGTTAGTCGAGGCTCTCTGCTAAACTATATATTGTAATATTTTTATAATTTCCAATGTAATATATAATAATTTCCGAAAAAGTATATGTAAGAATATAATTATGAAAATCTTTAATTATTGGTAATTATTTGATTATTTCTTTTTTATTTATTTATTTATTTATTATTATTTTTTTTTAATGAAAACACTTGAAAAATTATTATAATACGAGTCGATAATTAGTTCCCAATAAATAATATAATAATGTAAAATAATATAAATAAAATACTATCAGACTTTTTTAAATGCAAGCTAGAATTATAATTATGAAATATCGAAATGTAGATAATGATTTTCAACTTTTAAAGTCGTATATTTTACTTTTATTTCCCGTTTAAAAAGAACATCAACAATTTTATTTACAAGCTATTCATTCAATACACTCATTGGAATCTCCAGATATAATTTAAATCATTAACTATTGAAACAAACGGAATAAATATTTATAACTTGCAAATTTTTTGTTTCAAATTTTTCCCCATAAGGTCTCATATAGATTAAATAGCTAAATCAATATTAATTGATTAGATATACCGAGTCTTTTTATATGAGTAATTTATAGTGTCAAGAATGTTGATCATTATTGATTAAATAATGGTAGTATTATCAAATATTATAATAATATGTAGATATAAAAATTATCAAAAGAAATGGGGTGAAGATAATTGAAATATGCGAAGGTAATGAAAACATGAAAAATGATATGTTTTCAATTAATTATATTTGATTGAATCTCGTAAATGTTTTTTTGTTTACAAAAATTTCCAAGTTTATTATAATCCAAATACTTAAATTATATAATTTAAGTATATTGTATAACAATATATAAACTATAATATATAAACAGTATATAAATATAACAAAAAAAAAATATAATCTCAGTAAAAAAACTTAATAAAAAATTTGTTATTAAGCACGAAATGTCAGTTGAAAATTATATATGCGTTATCAGATTTTTATTGTTTGAAACATAAAATATAAGAAATAGATTACTTTATCTGTGAAAAAATATGAAAATTAAATAAATACTTTCCAAAAATCAATCATGAATGATTGTAATACAATGTTTATCGGTACGCATGTATGCACGTACACAAATGTATAATAAAATTTTAGTAGAAGAAGGTAAAAATTGTAATTCTGTAAAATGAAATATGAGGTTAAAGCAAACAATTAATAATGCATATATATACATATCAATAATAATATTATTATTTTTATTTTTTAAACGATATTAATACGTATATATATACGTTTTTATGTAAATTAACATTTACCAGTATAAATAATGTTATATATTTATACAAATAAACGAATTGAATACCAGGAATTAAACGTGGTATCATTTTTATGGCGTGCATAGCCTGGCCATAGAGTGCCCCGCTTCGGAACGGTTAACTGGGCTGTCTGTGCGCCATCAGGTTGTAATCCCCGAGATGTGGAGGCCTCCCTCAGGCACACACTTGCCAAGCACACCGAGCAGACCGGCCTCAAGATCACTGTCAAGGTCGATGCGGAAATGTGTCAAGTGCGAAGGACGGAGCCACTGCCGACCGAAACTCTTCTGGTTGGGTAAGATGTTATTTCTATGCCGTCCTCTTTTCTCTAATCATTCAACAGCTTCCATCACTCGACACTTTTTTATGCTCGTTTATTGGAAATTAATGATTAAGAAATAAAAATTATGTGGGTGAAAATTATACAAAGTCGTCAATCTGAGGAATTTCGGTTGACTTTTTCTTTATTAAAGCGGACTTTATTTTTTAAAATCGGTACTTGGTAAAACGTATTTGGTAAACTTGTAAGTGTTGGTCGAGTACAACATGAAATGTGAGCAAAAAAATATTAGTATATTATGAATGACATATATAGTTATTTGCGAGTTTCATAATTAAATTGGCATCTTCGTAATTGCAATATTACTGTACTTAATTGTACAAGTTCTGTAACTTTACACTTTAAGAAAATTGTATTGCTTTATATATATACACACAATAGTTTATATTTTTTAATACAAAATCAATAGAAAGGTAGTTAAATATTTTAATTCGAACGACCAAAATTATCATATTTTTAATAAAGCCTTAACATTTAATTACCTGAAAATAAATAGACTTTTTAAATTTGTTGATATTTAAAAAATTAAACATTATTAATAAATATTCTTATTCACGCCACTTACAATAGCATCTGTTTCAAGCAATTACTTTTCCAAGAACTTTTATTTAATCACCTTGACACTAAATTAAAAATATTAATTAATGGAATATCGTTAAAGAATATCATTAGTGACATATTGTAAGTACACATTTAAAAAGTATTTCTAATTTTAGCTAATTATCATTGATCTAGTTCTATTTGAGTCATATTAACAGATATTAATATTATTATTATTTATAATTTGAATAATGATAAATTAAAAGAAAAATTGTAATTCTGAATTAAAGGCTTTAATATAGCTCTAAAACTTAATAAAATATGAATGAAATAAAATAATGACACATTGCAAATGTCAAATTAAATATATATATTGTTTTTATGCACATCCTAATAGTAAATGTCTAATTAGTGTAAGACAAGCACTTCTTGTTTCATAGTCTTAATTTATATATTCATTTTCAAACATGTGAAAAGATCGTTCTATTCTTTCTTATCATATTTAAGATGATATTTAAACGGTATTATTTATTTTCATATATGTTAAATTACTGTTGCAAATAATCTGAATATGAAACAAAGAACTTTTAAACATTTCATAAAGAAGTAACGCAGAATATAAATTTGCTATTTATTAAGAAAATATTTTTTTTATATCATTAAAAAGTAATATTGAGAAAAATAATATTTTCTTATTGGATTATTAATTATAGAGGAAGAGATTTTCATACTCGATAACTTGAATTCTATTAATCACATTCACTACATTCAGAGGATCAAGTAGGTGAAGCCATACATCAATAATAGAATAAATAATGATGATTTTAATTTTTGAAGTAACGAATTTAAAACTTTTATTGAAATACACTAAATAAGTGGCGAATTTCTATAATACATAACTCTAAAACAAAATTTAAATGAATTAGTAAAGGTATTTTTAAAATACAATCAATTGTATTTGTTTCCTGAGAAGGGATTGTATTTTAATTATAATTTAGTATAGATTATAATATAATAAAATATAATAGAATATATAAGTAATTAATATCATTATTATGACACGGTTGTTACAAAAATAATATTAATTGAATTAAAGTCCATGTATTATTTGAATTACTGTGATTAATATGTATAGATTAATCTGAAAGGTTATGTAATATTTAGTTAGAGTATTATGTGAGTTTTCACGAGTTACCGTAGTCGATAGCGGCATTCATATCTTATTAGTGCTTAAGCTTAATGTATTATAAAGAAAAGATCTATTTCTAGAATGTAAAAACGTGCTTGCAGCTTAGTGGGAGTATACCTAGCTTATATTAGATTAACCAGTGACATTAAGTTTTAAACAAATTATTAAAAATATTGTATGCCCTTTGAAAAGAGCACTTTACGAACTTATGCTTATTAGAGGAGCATGACCTGCAGTAAAATAGTAATTATGGAAGCCAGGAATTTCAGAATTTTGCAAACGCGTATTTTAATATCATTACAAAGTAATTGAGAAGTCTTGAATAATAAAGGACAGGATAGATATCCTTACACATTATTTAATAAGAAAATAAAGCTCTAACTCGTGAATATATAATAGAATGAAGTATTTGGTACTAAAGCAGATAAGTGATTGTCAGCTATTGATCGTTAAGGAAGTACCAATGCTAACTGGGACTAATTACGTGTTTTTTCACGTTATTTCCCAGATTTTTCTTCACGGCGGTGGTCGTCCTTTCAATAATTGCTGGCCTTTGCGACCATTATAAGGTGCCGGCGAGTCCAGCCGTCCTCGCCTTCTCTCTAAAAAGGAACGTCTTGAAGCTCATCTCCTTGGAGCGCGGCGAGGGCGACATTGCGACGGTCCACGGAATTCGAGCTCTCAATGCCTTTATGCTTATACTAGCCCACAAGAGTCTTGCTCTCTTTTTCAATCCTTATACTAATCGGACGGAGATGACCGAGGTTAGAGGGCCCTTTGTTTTTATCAAATTGTTTGTTATTGTTAAGCGCAACGAAATTCGCTGCGATCGCCTTCTTGTGTAAAAGCGAATGGATGTTGAGCAACGGATGCTAAAGCCGTAATAAAAACAATCGGCTTGATTTTAACTACGTCGGGAAATCGTTCTTTACGCACAAGGTCGAGTGTCAGCCTGAAGAAAAGAGACGCAGTCAGACGATGACTGTAGTCGTATCGCAACATACTTGTGTCTAGCATTAAAAATCTATTCAATAATTTTTATTCTTGCATTATATTTTCCAGCGAATGGAGCTTCGCCATAAAGAACTCGCATTTCGAAAATAAGTGACAAAAAATTCAGTAACAAGCCACATAATGATTATTTTGCGTTGATAATTATACAGCATATTATAAATATTCATAATACAATATTATAAAATCGATAATTATTTAATGTATTCACTTCTACAACACGTACCGTTCGATGCTTTGTATATTACTGATTAATCGTTGCCTCACTCATGAAATTGTTTTAGCCATGAAGATATTAATTCGTGTAACAAGTTTTAATAATACACGGCATTATGCTTAAGATAAGGGTATGACGATACACCCTCATTTTTATACATGCAAATTTCAAATAATCATTTAACAAAGGAAACTTGTTATTTTAGATCGTTATCATTGATTATACACAAAACATCTGTGCATACCTCATTATTCAAGAAATTCAAAAACTTTAATACATGCACATTTCCAGGCGCTTTATGAATTTAACGTCTTTATTAATAATAAGATTAATTGAATATAAATAGTCTAATAATCATTCGTGAACTATATTTTTTTTTTAAGCCAACAATGCTTTTTGATATTTAGTTTAAGATAAATCAACATACTTATCGAATGCATTTAATGAAGGCCTTATTTAACAGAACATCTTTCACGGACAGTAACAATAATATAAACCTTGTGTCCCATAAGCCATGAACATTCTTCTTTTAAGATGAATGACAGAAGTAGCGACAGCTTTACGCAACCTAATTTGTACTAGCGCAATAAGACGATCGCATTATACTTTCTTAAATACAGTTCCAAAATATATATTTATAAGACAAAATATAAGATATTAACAATCCTTACTTATTTATACTTTTCTCAATTCTGTAAACACTATGCAATTTAAATTTGTAATTAAAGAAACTCGAGGAAATCTATAAATTTTTATAGTTTTCCTCGAATACATACATACATACATACATACATATATATATATATATATATATATATTTAAAAAGATAAAGTGTAAATTATGACCTAATGATATATAGACAGAAGATATATTTGTAGACATTATTTGATTGCTTTATTGTTTCGTTTGTTGTAGTACGTTGGCAAGCCATGGACTGTTATTGGCAGAGCTGCCAGTTTATACACCGATCCGTTTATCATGCTTTCTGGACTTTTGACGACCTATTCGTTCGTTGGAAGACTAGACAAAATTGGCAAATTGAACGTACGCAATGAGTACTTAAGTAGATTATTAAGGTACACTATCGTTTGACATTACTATAAAGCAACTATTTAATTACGTGAAAAAAACTATATTTAAATTGTACATTATAAAGGTATTTTCATAACACGTAAGAGGGTGATTTATGCAGATTTTGTTAGGAACTTTACTTTATAATATAAAAAATAATTGGTTTTTTAATTTTATTCTAAATTTTAGGATAGTACCAACATTAGGGGCTCTTATTTTATTTTGTACGTATATCATGCCTTTTATTGGTTCCGGACCTCAGTGGAATTTAGTTGTAACGCAACATGCCGATATTTGTAAAAGAACCTGGTGGCGAAATTTCCTGTTTATTCACAATTATTTTGGATTTGAGAATATGGTAAAATTAAAATTATACATTTATAATGCATATGAAATTCGAAAATTAATTCACTCTGTAAACCATAGTATTTTTAATTCAACTTTTAGTGCCTTACACATACACATCACGTTGGCATAGATACGCAACTCTTTGCATTGTCACCTCTGATGGTATTAGCTATTTATAAAAAACCAAAGATTGGAATTACCGTTTTAACGTTGGTTGCTATGTTATCGACTGTACTTAGATTTTATGTGACATACTTTTATCGATTAAATAATTACATATTCTTTGGTACATCGTAAGTTTCGCGTTTTACCGATTTTTTTTTTCTTTTTTTTATTAATGTATATTTATATTTTCTGTTTAATATAATAACAATATTATTCTTTATTACTTTTCTTTAGAATACGGCAGTTGTTCGATACTGCAAATCTTTCGTATATTTTGCCGAGCCATAGGCTTACTGTTTATATTATAGGAGTATTTGTAGGATATTTATTAAGAAAGTGGCCGAAAAGTTATAAACTGAATAATGTAAGTTTAAATTTATTTAAAAAAGCTTACATATCAAATGTAAGTATTATGTCAAATTCCTATATGAAATAGATGTTTTCGTAAATATATCTTCTAATAAAATGTAAATTTACGTTTATATAAAGAATATATATTAAGCCATGATTATTACATTTGATTTTATTACAGACGATTATTTTTATTGGTTGGTCTTTATGCATATTAATGGCAATCGGTGCATTTTTTGGACCAGCTGGAATGGGATCTATTAACTATGTATACAATCCTATTCATGCAGCTACTTACAATGCGTTTGCCCCAATTGGATGGTGTGCAATTTTTATTTGGATGACATTTTTGTCACATACTGGAAACACTGATGGTACGATAAATCAATAAAATAATATCATAGACTATCATAGAATATCAACAATATTATGGAGTAAATTAGTTAAATAATTAAAAATGATTTACCTTTCTAGTACAGTAATTACATTAAAATGTTTATAACATTTATAGCAAGATTGATTAGATTTATAATATCTATAATTTATAATATATATAAATATTAGTTAGTTATATCATAATAATTATTCAATTATAAGTTTAATCTAAAAATTTTTAATTGTTACCATGGCTTAAATAGATTTAAAATTTACAAATATATTTTAAAAGTATTTGCTCTAATAGAGGTAAACTAAATATAAATAATAAGCTTTCTTGTTTACAGGATGGTTAAGCAAGGTATTTGCCTGGAAGGGTTTTCTTATAACTACCAGACTAAGTTACGCTATTTACTTAACGCAGTTTCCTGTATTTTTTTTTAACGTTGGAGAAACCAGAAGTGCAGAGTATATTGGATTTATTAGAATGATGGTAATAAGATTTATAAGTATCCTATTTTTATTAATTTTGTAACGTTAAGAATTAGATATTATTATTTTACCTTTAATATATTAGATAAATTAATATCATTATTTAAAATTTTTTTAACAAACTATGGGTACACGTACGCCTATGTGAATGGATTTAAAAAGACAAAATATATTTGCTACCAAAAATATATGTATATATTACTTTTACTGTATTTTTTATATTATATTATTTTTATATTATAATTATTTCATATTAATTATTCAATGATTGAATTTTATACTATATATGAATATATAAATTTTATTATTTATAAGCTATCCAAATAAAACAAGTAATTAATTAATTATATAATTGCAGTTAAACGTAAAAGAACTCTTTTGGATACTAGGAGCTTCTATTATTCTTACCATTTTATTTGAAACACCATTCCAAAATCTTAGAAATCAATACTTGAAAAGAAAAAGTTTAAATCAAACAACATCGAAGCCTTTGTCTCATACTGCGAATACAATGAAAGAAATTAAATCAGATTAAGACAGATAAAGATTATATAATTTTAAATGACGATGTCTTATGGCTGATAATAATCGAGCAATTATATTTTTAAAATTAAATCGTCTTCCAGTAGTAACTATGACAATAATTGTCTTACATTTATTATTAATATATTGAATTGATGATGTGAATGGAATGCAAAATGCGCATCCATATGTCCAACACATGTTATTTAAGTATAAGTCGCGTGTAGTCGACGGCATTGTGTAGATACTTGAATTGCAGTAGTTGATCCTGTACATATAATAAGTGTCGACTGTCCCTGGTACAAATCGGATCAGATTAATGAAGATTGCATTGAGTTTTTGTAATATTTCAAACATTGTTAGAATATTTTAATGCATTAATTTGAAGTACTATTAACAGTTAGTCTCTAATGAGGTAATATGTACGAAATATGAAGAAAATAAAATTAAAATCTATTTAGTAAACGATTATTCATTAGATTCATTATTAAATTAAATTATCTAAAATTTTAAATAAAGTATATAATTTCATCATTATATTTTATTTGTCATAAAATTATGAAAAATGTCAATGATAATGAAATCCAGTAGTTTTAGTACTAGAGTGGATTTTAGAATAATCTTATTGCTTATGAGTTATAAAGGTAACGATGAAACTTTTCAGTTATATTCAAATTCTGTTTTCGATTTTTACCAGAGATTTTAGGTTTTTGAAACTTGACATGTGCAATTGCTTGCCCTCATATACAATGTATATGAAAGTCAAAAGCATATTTATAATTTGATAAGACTATAATGTCTTATATATGTATTGTAAATAATGATGTCATTTATTTGTTTTTTTTTTATATATATATACAGTTATGATGAAAAGCCTTCTATTAAATTGTTTTTCCATACTTTTTCAAGATTCAAATGAATATTGTAATTATTTATTTAAATATTTTAAATAGAAAATAAAATGAATTATAAAAATATATTATTTTATGTTTCTTATCGTTTTATTTTTTAATAATAAATGTTACAGAACTTTATGACAATACTAGCAGAACTGAAGTGCTTATTACATAATATTGTTCGCTTATATCACATCAACGAGGAAGAATTATACTCGTATCTCGGTACATCAAAATACAATATATTTAACTTAAATTATTTATATTTTCTAGTTATATAATTTCGAAAAGGGATTCTCGAATAAAAACTTTAAAACTTTAAATTTTATTTAGTATTATATTATATTGCTTACGTAATAGCAGACGAGTCTTAAATTACTATCTTAAAATCTAAAATAATTTCTTTTTACAATTATTATATCCAAATATAACTTGAGATCGATCCTTGGATTCAATAGGCACTTAACATAAGTAATAATAAAAGAATTTAATTCAAGATCCAAAACAAAGAGAAAAATATCAAATATTAGCGCAAACGGTAGGAACATAGCGAACGAACTTTTTTTGACATACTTATTGATTTTTATTGCACTGCTTTGCTTGCAAAAACTTTTATAAGCAAATGTTGTTTATGTATAAAAGAAGTAGACAGTAATAATTTTAGGTTTATATTATATATTTGAAACTCTTATTTGTTGCAATTAATTACTAAGAAATATTATGAATTAATTTTGTGACTAGCTGCTTTTACTACAAACAGCAAGAGAAATGCATATTTGAAAACTAACAGTGTCGTACTGTTCTTAAAGCTACATTTAAATGCATGCCGGTACGCAATTTCTTATCATATAATTTATTCATTACTCATTGCCACATATCAAATATCTTTAACTTCTAATTTGATTATATTATAGCGAAGTATGATATTCAAATATAATTTACGTATTCGCTATATGCTATCAATTACTGTATATATTTCTTTAATTAAGTATTTTACTTAAAAAGAACGTCCGTATGCGCTGGTTTTTAAAAAATTATACATTTTAGATAACTCGACTAATATACATTAAAATTTTAAATACCTAGTAGGTAAAT